GTTTGTGATGGTCATAACTTGAAAAGACAAAAGAGACTTACTGCTAAACAGTAGAAATAACTTGGGAGAGAACAAGGCATAGAGCTTAGCTAATACATTCGAGACAAAGACAGACAACACATTAGCCGTAAAACAAAGTCTTGCTGAGCTACGATTGTGTTCCAAAAATTGTCGCCCCAAGCCGCCATAGAAGAAAGCCTCAAGGATATCAGGCACAGCCATTGAAGAAATACCCCATGCAGTTGCAGCCAGCCAATCAGACGCAATCATCATTACGGGACTCCGGCCAATTACACACATGAGTCGGCAGGTTCCTAATAAGAAAGCAAGAGGGACAGAAAGAGAGAGAGAAAGAGAGAGAGAGAGAGAGAGAGAGAGAGAGAGAGAACGAAAAAGAAACTAGCAAAACAAAACCTTCGTCTTAGGGACGTAACAGACGATGGAAACAAATGCAACTGCAACTTGTATGTTTTTCTCACACTGTTCCACTCGGGTCCTGAACTGAGATTTTGAAGTTATGGAGAAGTCTCGTGACTGACAGAGGGATTCTGGGAAGTGCAGTCCTTGATGGTATAGGAGTCCATCTGAGAATCAGGAAACGTGACAGGTGTCACGATAGATCCCAATTTGTCTTTCGATATGCATATAACCAATATTACTAGAACAACTTTCCTGCATCTCCGGAATATTGCTAAATTAAGAAATTCTCGACCTCTACGGGATGCAGGAGAGCTGGTTTATGCCTTTATTACCTCCAGGCTGGATTACTGTAATGTTCTACTGTCAGGCTGTTCAAGCAAAAGCCTTAACAAGCTTATCTAAGCCTACTTAGGTCACAAGGTGTATTAGTACCTAGAATTAATAAAGTTACAAAGCCCCCCAGCTTTGGAATAATCTTCCTGTTAATGTCTGCGACTCAGACACAGCCTCAGTCTTTAAGTCTAGCTAAAAATCTACCTGCTTAGCCAAGCTTTTGGTAATTAGCTTTTCCTGTTAGTTCACCTAAGACATTACTATTCCTGCTTTTCCATTCTTACTGTTTCTTCTATGAATGGTCAAATCTCATTTGTTTGCTATCTGGAGTCAACCAGAGGAGGATGGGTTCCCCTTTTGAGTCTTGGTTCCTCTCAGGGTTTCTTCCTCTTGCTCTTAGGGAGTTTTTCCATGTCACTGTCACCACTGACGCTCATGGGGGCTCGGACCCGGATTCTTTTCTGTAAAGCTGTTTTGTAACAACACCTGTTGTAAAAAGCGCTATATAAATAAGCTTTGACTTGACTTGACAATAATTGTTAATAATTAAATTGTTATAAATAATTGTAAATAAATAAATTAGAAAAAGTAAATAAATTCTAAATAATTTAACAATATAAACATAATTAAAGTCATATTAAAAATGCGAAATGTGTTTTTTAACTCTTTTTAACTTATTTTGAAACACTTTAATTCAATGGTCCATATAGATTATTCATATATTACTCTTGCTGCAATTTTGTTTTTCATTAATACTACTTATTTTAATGATTAAGTGGTTGAGGGCTTTGGGGGTTTTATATGAGAGGGTCTGCCACTGTAAGAACAAAACCAAATGTAGTCTGTTCATCATAGCATTTTGACACTGTAAAAAGAGCAGTTGGCATGTTTATATTATGTAAAAACTGAAAAACAACCAAAATGGAGATACAAGATTTGTTCTTGCTGCAATATTTTATTTTATTTTTATTATTTTAATTATTATTATTATTATTATTATTATTATTATTATTATTATTATTATTATTATTATTATTTTTAAGGCTTTTAATGCTGTGTTGTTTAAATGTTTTAGTCTTGATTTGCTGTTGTTAATGTCCATAATAATAATAAAAGCCCTTAATAATAATAATAATAATAATAATAATAATAATGTTTGTTGTATAACTCATTTTGCTAACATTTTGTTTGAAGTGTTTTTTTTTAAATTATGTATATGATTAGTAAATAACAACAAATTAACAAAATACCAATGAGTAAGAGTAGTAAAGCCTCTGTAGACATTAAAGTGGACATTATATTACAATTTGTATTGTAGCAATTAAAGAGCAATTTTGAGGAATCTGGCATAAATAGATACATTGTGAATGTTACTGATTTTCCATTTTTAAAACTCACAACAGCTTAGAAAAAAATGCTTAGTTTAAAATGTTTATTAATTAGTCAACACCTTAAACACCTTGAATCATTAATATGTAGTTATAACACATCCATAAAAGTGCAACAGTGAACAGTTTGGACTGTTAGGTGAGCCCACATTCATCTACACTCTTAACCCCTTAACAAGCCCAACGTGTTTGCATTGCAGTCCCTGTAGTTACTGGATAATATGTTTTATATGTCATAAGCCTGATATGTTAAGGTGTGGTTGCTCTTTTTACTGTGTCCTTGTCAGTATCATCACATATTAAAACTTATAGAACAGCTGACTGATTTATTTGTTTATATTTATATTCATCTGCTTAATAATGATTTTTAAGGGGTTTTTACCTAATAAATATCCATTACCAACCTAATTTTAAAAATACATACACTTTTTTAATAGTACTCTTACTCTAAAGTGGTACCACAACTTTCATATGTTTGGCAGCTTCTCAGGCTGATGCAGATCACAGCCACAGACAGGACCAAATTAATAGTGAGGTCTCCATAATGCAGAAATGTGACCTTCATCACATGGTGAAATGCCCATGCAGTGAAATACATGTAGCCGACTATTTGCTATTTCCTTTACCCTTTTTACCACATCAGTGCTCCACTTTTTACCCAAATACAATGTGTGTTAAATCAGGTCACTTTTACTTAAATAGCACTACAACAAGCGTCAATCAAAGCACTGTGTAAAATGAATAAACTAAAAAAAAAAAAGATAAAACAAACAACACAACATGGGTGAAAAGACATGAATGAACAACATGCACAGTTCTGTAGGACATTCATTCATTCATCATCATTGTTAACCGCTTTGTCCAGATAGGGTCGCAGTACCAGTTGGGAGAGCAGAGTGTTTATGCACTTACCTTTCTTGTAAAAAAGGACCTATTGTAACAAAAATAACATAGTGTAGTTTACTAAATAAATTACACAGGATAACTGGATTCAACTTCATTCATGGAGGATAAATAGCAGTTTATGGAAGAAAGGAAGAATGAGAAATGAACAAATGAAAATGTACATCATGCATATGAATGAGTCAATAAGGTCGCAATGAATTGGACGACTAAAGGTAAAACTGACAGTAGGTGTAATACACATATTCAGTAATTTATATACTACTGGACCTCACTAACATCTTAGTAATGGCTGTGTGTATGCCTCTGTGCCAATTTATACACATTACAGAATGACAAGTATCCACAGAGTCTTTCAAAAGTCATTGTCTTTATAGCTACTAACAGAAAAAGCTGATGTGAGAACATTTACAGTAAGAAACATCCATCTTGCTCATTTCTACTCCTCTGAGACTTTAATTCTGTAGACAAGACAGCCACCTTCTTTTCCAAATTAGCCACCCTGTCCTTAATTTCCTTTTCCATTCTCTTTCTCTGAGCCTCCTGGTACATCTCATTAGTGAAGTGCTGTCCTCCATTCTTCTGCACCACAGTCTCTATCTTCTCCAGCAGCTCTGTGACCTGAGTACTTTCTCCTCTCTCCACATTGTTGAAGATCTGATAAAAGTCCCAGCTCTGATTTAAAATCTTTTTGTGGTCCCTTCCCCAAGAATCTCCGTGGGTAAGCAGGACTATAGCACGCTGCAAAAATTCTCGCCCTGAATTTCTAATTAATGGGTAAATGGTATTATTTAAACCCCTGGGAGAATGAATTACAAGTAGGAAGACATGAGGACCAGGGGCAGATGCAGAGAGACACTCTTCAAACAGCTCGCAGTACAATGAAAGATCAGCCCGGTGTGAGATTCCCTTGGTGTCAATCACAGATATGGTTTTATCTCTGACCATTCCATCCTCCCTCTTGCAGTTTGTAGTATTATTGGGGAAGTTCTTTGCAAATGCTTCTCTGCCCAGGATGGTGTTTCCTGATGCACTTTTTCCGGCTCCAGCAGAGCCCAGAAGCACAATCCTCAAATCTGAAAGAACAGAGTAAAAGTTCTGGATTAACCTTCATACGATAAAATGATCGTTTGATTTAATGAGGAAACAAGTTATACAACACCAACTGGCCCTAAATGAAAAAAACTGCTGCATTACTCAATCAGTTAACCAAATCTAATTAATAATTGGGATCGATTAAACAAGACACACCCAGCTTGGTTACTGTGAGCTCTGTTGAATCTAAACATCACTTAAATACAACTTTTCCAGCAATATGAAGTCGGCCAAAAGGTTTCAGTAAAAAGTACATGATGCTGCAAAAAAAACAAAACTGCAGAACAGATGAAAAAATGAAGTTATTGACGTACATCAGTGGAATGGGTTACACCTCTTTTTTCTAAGGCTCTGGAACTGCAGCAAACCACAGTGAGAGCCATAATATCCAAATGAAGAACAGTGGTGGATCTTCTCAGAAGTGGCTGGTCAACCAAAATTCCCACAAAAGCACCCCGACGATTCAGCAAAGCCACAAAAAACCTAGTCAAATTTCTAAGGCTACGTTCACATGACCAATCTGAAGTGGCATAAATCCATTTTTTGTGGTACAGATCTGATTTCTTGAGAACTGTATGAACACGCAAATCTGTTCTTTTAAAATCAGATCTGAGCCAATTTGCCTATGTTAACATTAAAAGCCTAATTTTTCATTTCTAATTTTTTGCTTAGATCTGATCTTTCTACCTTGCTGGTTCACATTTGTGTCGGTAAGGTTCCGTTCACATTACAACCCTGAAGTGGCACAAATCTACAGAGCCCTGCTAGTGACTTCCCACATAAATAAAAATTACGTATGGCCATGCCGTACTAACGTGTGGGAATGAGATCCTAATGCGTGGCCATGAATTTGTAAGACATGGGAATGAGATAATTAAGTCGTGGCCATGACTTAGTAAGGTGTGGGAATACGATAATTAAGTCATGCCCACTTAGTTATCTCATTTTCACGCCTTACTAAGTTGTGCCACGCATTAGGATCTCCTTCCCATGCCTTGCTAAGTCGTGGCCACAACTTACTTATTTATTTCCAAAGCCTTACTAAGTTGTGGCCATGCATTATTTTTATTCGTATGGGATGTCACCAGCAGGGTTCCATACAAATCCACTTTTTGGCCACAGGTCTGATGTTTTCATGTGTTTTATTCACTGCACCTGTGTCATCATTAAGTGTAAATGAAGCAGCAGTTAATGACACAATAAAGTCTTGTTCTACTGGTTAGTTAGTTTGTTGTGTATGTATAATATATAAACACACCTGAATCAGGTAACGTTCCTCCCACTGCTCCTTTCTCTTCACATTTCTTCTGACTCTCTTCCTGACTCTTGAGATCTTCTTGTATGGACTTGGCTTCCATGTATGTCTTTCTCTCCTGTAAACGCTCAACTGATCCCTGCTGCACTTTTCTGGCCGCCTCTATCTCTTGTTGTTTTTCCTCTTCATCATCTTCAGTCCGTGTTATTTCAGCCAGTGATATCATATCCATATTCTTTCCCCTCCTTATGGTTTCCAGTTTGATTTCTTTGCTTGGACCTCCATCATCCCCCATGCTATTTGTTAATACTGATTCTGTGTGGAGTTTGTCTTCTGTACTTTGTGTAAGTTCTTCTCTATCTGGTGTCCTCTCATCCTCTGCTCTCTCTATTTTTTCCTCCACTCTTCCTTCCATCTCGTGTATCTCTTCCTGCCTCTTCC